TTAAGTGTCTGCCTTCAGCTCAGGTCATGATCCCCGGGTCAGTGGGGAGCCTGCTTTGGCATCAAAGTAATGCTGACCTCAGGGGTGCCTGGGTGGCTCAGTCGTTAAGCGTCTGCCTTCGGCTCAGGTCATGATTCCAGGGTCCTGGGATCGAGCCCCGCATCGGGCTCCCTGCTCGGCGGGAAGCCTGCTTCTCCCTCTTCCACTCCTCCTGCTTGTGTTGCCTCTCTCGCTGGGTCTCTCTCTGTCAAATAAATAAATAAAAATGTTAAAAATAAAGAATGAGAATTATTGACAACTACTGATATGGATATATATCTTAGTGTATGTTATAGTACAGGTTATAGTGTAGTGTGCATAGTATAGTACTACATGTGTAAAAAAGGGGCATATATATACATATGGTTTTACATGCATGTAATATCACTGGAAGGCTTTGAAAGCATTTAACATTATCTGTTTAATACACTGTTCTAAGAGCTTTTTGTAATTAACACACTTAATCCTCCTAATAACTTTATTAAGGTAGGTGATATTATTACCATTTTACAGATGAGGAAACTGAGGCACGGAGAGATTAACTTGCTCAAAGGCACCAGAATCTGGTTAACAATGGTTATTCTATTTCTAGAGTGAGGGACTAAAAGACTAAGGAGCAGAGGAAGGAGACTTAATGTTTATTGTACATCCTTTTCAGCTGTGTGTGTGTGCGTGTGGTTGGCCTATTTATGCCAACTGTATTTATGTGTTGGCCTATTTATGCATTACTGTAAGAAGTTTATTTTAAAAGTTTATCTGCACCATTAGGAAAATGAGCAAAAGACTACAATGAGCACACTATTTACAAGCTAGTCAATCTTACTAATATTCAAAGATATGAAAATTAAATAATTTCTTTCAACAAGATTAGAAAGATTGACAATGTCCATAGTGGGGAGTATGAGGAAATGGGCACTCTCATACACTATCACTAGGAGAATGATATAATAGAACCTTTTGGGAGAGAAGTCTGGTAATGGGTTGTACTCGTTTGGTAAGTCTCCTACAACAAAGTACCACAGACTGGGTTGCTTAAACAACAGAAATTTATTGTCTCAGGATTCTGGACACTAGAAGTCCTAGATCAAGCTCATCAATAGGGTTAGTGCCTTCTAAGGGTTATAAGGAAGGATCATTTCCAAGCCTCTCCCTAGCTTCTGGGGGTTTGCTGGCAATCTCTGGTGTTTCTTGGTTTGTAGATGCTTCACCTCCATTTCCACTTGGTGTTCTCCCTGAGTGTGTGTCTGTCTCCAAATTTCACCTTTTTATGGGAATATAAGTCATATTGAATTAGGGCCCACTCTAACGACCTCATTTGAATTTGACTACCTCTGTAAAGACCCAATCTCCAAATAAGGTCACATTCTGAGATCCTGGGAGTTAGCACTTCAACATTTGAGTTTTGGGGTCACATAATGTCGGAATCAAATTTTTAAATATGCATACCCTTTGACCTAGCAATGCCACTTATGGGAATCTGTCTTTAATAAATAGTCTGAAAAGAAAAATAGTCTGAACGTGTGCACATACATACTTAGAAGGATATTCACTATAGCACATTACAGAACAGTTATTGGAATCAATCTAAATATTAATAAGAGATTGGCTAAATAACGGTATATCTGCTTCCATGGTTGAAGATGGATCTATATATATTGACAGAAAAGGATATGCAGAATGGGGCGCCTGAAGTCTTGGTCAGTAGGGTGTGCAACTCTTGATCTCAGGGTTTTAAGTTCGAGTCCCACCTGGGTGTAGAGATTACTTAAAAATAAAATCTTAAAAAAAAAGATATGCAGAATATATTAAATATAAAAAGCAAGTTTGGGGGTGCCTGGGTGGCTCAGTTGGTTGGGTGCCTGACTCTTGATTTCAGCTCAGATCATGATCTTGGGGTTGTGATATCAAGCCCCACATGGCTCTCTCTAAAATAATATATAAATAAATAAATAAAATCTTTAATATAAAAGTAAAAAGTAGGTTTACTGAATAGTGTGCATATTTATCCTTTTTGTATTAAATTTAAAATAAAAAATACATAAATTTTTAATATTTTCCAAAAAATTAATAATGGCATGGGGTGTCTTTCATTAAACTTCACACATGTACTCTCAAATTAGTAAAAACAAACATATTTTTATCTTTTTTTATTTAAAGATTTTTATTTATTTATTTGACAGAGAGAGAGATAGCGAAAGCAGGAACACAAACAGGGGGAGTGGGAGAGGGAGAAGCAGGCCTCCCGCGGAGCAGGGAGCCCCATAAGGCACTGGATCCCAGGACCCTGGGATCATGACCCAAGCCAAAGTCAGTCGCTTAACCGACTGCACCACCCAGGCACCCCAACGTATTTTTACTCCTGAAAAAAAGAGAAAGTATTAAATTCAATCCCCTTTATTTTGCTTTAAAACTAAATGCAGAACAGAATCAGAATATATTCATTGCTGGGACTGCGGCTTAATCTGGTAGTTTCAGGGGGGAAAACTACTACTTCCTATGGAGATGTGTAACAGCCTAGTATAAACACACACATTTTTTTTCCCTGAACAATTTGAAAATAAGTTGCAGACTCCATGCTCCTTTACTTCTACACAGTTCAACATGCATCTCTTAAGAATAAGGGCACTCCCTTGCTCAACTACAATTACTACTGCTTATGAAAATTAACACTAATTTCATAAAATCTAATATTCGAAACACATTTGAACCCTAAGCTTTTTCCCCACATACCTTTTTTTCCAACCAGGATCCAATTAAGTTTCATGTATTTCATTTGGTTATTATGTTTCATTAGTCTCTTTTAATTAGAGCCAGTTTTCTTGTAGAAGGTTCCACAGTTTGCATTTAAATTATTAGTATATATACTGTTTATTTAATCCCCTCCATGACATAGACTTAATTAAAAAAACTTTTTACGGGGCCCCTTGGTGGCTCAGTCGTTAAGCGTCTGCCTTGGGCTTGGGTCATGATCGAGCCCCACATCAGATCCCCTGCTCCGCGGGAAGCCTGCTTCTCCCTCTCCCACTCCCCCTGCCTGTGTTCCCTCTCTCGCTGTGTCTCTGTCAAATAAATAAAATCTTAAAACAATTTTTTTTAACGAAGTTTTTTATTGTGGTAAAATATAACCTAAAAGTTAGCTTTTTAACCATTTTTAATTATATACTTCAGTGGCATTAAGTACATTCACATTGTCATGTAGCCATCACCATCATACATCTCCAGAACTTTTTTGTCTTCCCAAAATGAAACTCTGTACTTATTAAACAATCACTCTCCACTTTCTTGCCCCCTGGCCCCTGGTAATCACTATTCTTTCTCCCTCTCTGAATGTGACCTCTCTAGGGACCTCATATAGATAGAATTACACCCCGTTACGTCCTTTTGCGATTGGCTTGTTTCACATACTATAATAGCTTCAAGATTTGTCCATGTTGTAGATGATGTGTCAGAATTTCCTTTCTTTTTAGGATGAATAATATTCCATTGTATGTATGCACCATCTTTTACTGTCATCAGACAATGGACAGTTGGGTTGTTTTCACCTTGTGACTTATTGACTATGAACATTTTAGACATACCTAAAGGTAGAGAAAATTGTACAATAATAACATTCAATTAAACAATCATCAGGATTTTTGGATTTAACCCCAATGCAAAGTATTCATTGTTTAAAAAAATTTTAAAGGACATTTTCTTACAAATTCTCAATGCCATTTTCATGTTTACCAAAATAACAATTCTTTGGTTAGTTGGTATCATGTAATACCTGGTACATAATCTAATATCCCTGATTGTTTCAAAAAACGTCTTTTATAGTTGGTTTGTTTGAATCGTTAAACAAGATCCACACACATTACATTTGGTTGCTTTTTAGATTCGAGCAGTCCGCCCTCACTTCCATTTTTTAAGATGCCATTATCTTACTGCAACAGACTCAATTATATTTGCATGTATTTATTTACAGGGGACTCCCCTCCCCCCATTTTAAAAGAACCAAACACTGTATTTTGAGGTTCCGGAACCGGTTTTTTACAGAAATATTTCAAGTAGTTATAAAAACACACTATTTCTAAATTCATATAAACCTCATACAGTAACGCGTAGCTCCATCCTTGTCATAACGACCATATTATAACTTCGCAAACCGCAATTTTGGTCCCGGTAGACGCAGCTTCTACAGCAGGGGGCAGAATTACCTCTCCTAGAAGCCAAGAGCCGAGAAGCCCCTTCCCTCGGTAAACCGAGAGACTGGGTTTCAAGTGAAAAAGAAAACTAAAAGTTTCCTCTGAATAGAGATAAGGTAAATTCCCGGAGAACGTGGTGTTGAGGAAACATTAGTGGCAAATAATACAGACTAGAGATTCGGGTTGAAAGAGCAATCAGATTTGGTTTAAGAGGGGCAGAGTTATTGGAAGACATCGATGGAGTGATGGTGGGCAACTAGGGAACTAGGGTGAAGGATCGGAAAAACAGCGTCTAAAGAATTGAAACCTGCTCAGGCACTGCCCCAGGAGAAAAAAACCGACACCCGGGGGAAAGCCCCTAGGGTTACTGGAGTTGAGCGAAGGACCGGAGCAAATCACAGGGAGTAACTCCGAGTGTCTAAAAGGTAGTACTGGAGCCGGTTTTTCGAGAGACTGGAGAAATCCGATAAAAGGCACTGAGCACAGAGCAGGTGAACAAACCACTTCCGTCTACATCTCCGCACCCAGGGGAAGACCTGCCCTATCCCGGGCGCGCCTCTACCAGGTGACGACAACGCAGGTGGCGTGACGTGTGAACGCGTCACCACCCATGCCTCCGCCGCGGGAAGTAGTTCCCATCGCGCCGGCTCCGAAGGGAGCTGAATGAGGGAGCCTCGAGCCGCTCAGGCCGTGAATTCCGGAAGCGACGAGCGCGCAGCCAATCTCTGGGAAGGAGGGCGTGGCTACCTTGGCCCCGCAGATCCCTCCGCCCGTGCTTGCTTGTGCTGAGGCTGAGGGAGCCGCCATTTTGGATGCTGAGCTTTAAGTGCCAAGTTCCTCTCACCCGTTTTCACGTCGGGATTCAGCCAGGTGAGTGTGGCAGTCTTAACGTCAAAGGTCTTTGTTTTTCTCCTCGCACTGCGCTCGGGATTTAGAAGTCCCTAGTCTGGGGTTCAGACGACCCTGAGGTGGCAAGTGAGGAGAAAAGGAAGGATCCTGGGTTTGGGGTCAGGCCGGAGGTCAGGCCGGAGGTCCGCGGTGCGGGAGGCCGCCTGAGGTCGGGGTTGGGGGCGTGGCAGGGCCGAGAGCCGCTTGGATACCGCTGGACCTAGCTGCCTGAGGCGGCGAAACTTTCCTGTTGTCCTTCCTGCCTCGAGGACTCTCCCCCGGGGCGGAAACGCCGCGGCCTCGGCTTCTGTTGGTGACAGGGCTCGGCCTGCGGTCTCGGTAACACCCCTGTGCCGTTTCCACTGGTCCAGAGAGACTTCGGGAAGGTCGGGGTTGACCTTCCGCGAGAGTCTCATCGCCTCTACCTGGCGGGGCGGGCTCCTGAGGTGGTGCCCTGTTTGGCCGGAGGAAATTGCCTTTCTCTTTAGCTTAAGCGAGCAGCGGTCTTTTCCCCCTTTCGCAGACTCCCCCGTGTCTTACGGGAGACCTTGTGAAGAGCCTGAGGCCCGGTCCTTGCCTTTCTCCTCTTTGTGTTCTCCGCGCTCCTCCTCCGCGGTGCTGGAGCCGAGGACGTGAAACGGCAGCGTAAACTTTTGCCAGGATCGCGATCCACGGAGGGTCCGTTTCCAATCAGGCAGTAGGAAAGACACAGCCGCTTTCATTCTCTGCGGTAGTAAAATTAAAAGCCGCTCATAAATAGCTCTTTTCGGGGATTTTAATTTTTTGTTTTGCGTTATTAAAATTTCATACTGATTAAAGAGTATAATGAATTCCCTCCTCATTTCGCATCAAGAGCGTTCAGTTCCTGGCCAGTTTTGTTTCTCTCTCTCCTTGTGCATGTATTTAACAAAATAGTAGTTGAGATAACATGTGAGTGGGTGCCTATACACGTAGAAGCCTTTTGACTCCTTTACCTGCAATCCAGTAGTCGTGGAATATTTTGTTTTTACAGCTTTCTCAGAATCACATCTTCTGGGAATAAAAGATTTGGTAATACCCTTTTCTTAGAAGATAAAAGAGTGTTTTGAAACTTGAATGTTAGAATTGCATTTTAAAGTCACCCAGTTTTCTAAATCCTCTCATTTTTTAAAGTACTGTTAAAGGAATGAGAACAGTGCCTCTGGTCTTCTAAGCGATCAGGAGGCTCTAGAATCCCCAACTTTAGTCTACTTAAGTTCTCATTCCTTTAAAATTAGAATCAAGTCCTAGTTGTATGTAGTTTGTTCTGGTTTAAAAGATAAAACTAGAAAATAGGGTGTAGTCTAATGAAATAATTTCAAATGCAGGAAAAGTAGTATGCATATGAATACTAATTGCAGCATTATTTATATGACATGTCAGAAAGTTGGAGAAATAATTTAAAAATTACTATGGAATATTAGGTAGCCGTTAAAGCTAAAGACTAACACAACAGATACTATGTCATGTGATAAAAGGACTCGGTGTCAGAGTCCATGATTACAGCTCTAAAAATATGAGGAAAACTCTTGGTAAACGTATACCCAGTGACTTTTCTGTAATTTTTTTATATTAATTTTATTGAAACAAGACAAAAATACTTTGATAATGCGTACACATTTCAGTAGTTACAGCTTCTTCCAGGATATCTTGATGGTCTCTGCTTCCTGTAGTCTGTATTTGTGAGTTTACATATGATGCTACTGGTCTTGTGGCCCTTCATTTTATTAACTTTTTAATCTTGATTAATCAGTGAAGATTTGATAAAGGTTAGCAGTGTGAAAATACAGGATAGTTGGCATTCTATAAATAAAGGTTTTAAGGATTGGACTGTATTAATTTGGAAATGCTTTCTAACTTGTTTGTACTCTTATGTCACCTCTTCATAGCTTTCTTACAGTGGTCATACCTAAATCTGTTCATATAATTTATAAGGAAGAAGTATTCAAGATAAGTAAAATAATACATTTCAAATACAAAAGTTTTTCTTGATACTGCATAATATCATCCTTGTCACTATTGACTTTGCTGCCTCCCTTCCCCAGTTGGTACTTTTGGAGCTACATACTCTAAAGCTTGTCTCTTAGGACTTCAGGATCTTTTTTGCTTTCTTTTTTTTTTTTTAAATTAAAGACTTTATTTATTTTAGAGAGAGAGGGAGAGCACAGAGGAAAGAGAGGGAGAAGCAAACTACCTGCTGAGCAGAGAGCTGAGATCACAACCTAAGCCAAAGGCAGACACTTAACTGACTGAGCCAACCAGGTGCCCCCTCCTTTTTTTTTCTTTCTATTTTTAACTATAAATAGAGCTTTCAGGTTTACTGCTGGACAGCTTCATAATTTTGGGCAGCAGGTATGAGCTGCAGCAGTCTCACCTTTCTCCCCCAAATAATATAAGGAATGACTCAATCCATGGTTTTAAACCTTCCCTTATTCAGAATAAAGAGAACCTTCTTTAAAAGGCTCCTAAAAAAAAAATGAAAGAAAGAAAAGACTTCTGGGACTGAATGATAAAAGGAGGGACTAGATGGATTTGTTGTTCCAAAGTTAAGGATTGGGTTGAAATGAGTTGGGAAGAGCCAAGAAGGGCACGTGGTGGTATCCCAATAAAAATAGATCAGTACAGGCATACCCTGGGTTTGGTGGGTTTGGTTCCAGACCACCACAATAAAGTGAGTCAAATGACTCTTTGTTTCCTTTTCTTTAAGATTTTGTTTATTGGAGAGAGAAAGAACACAAGCAGGGGGAGCCACAGAGGGGGATGGAGGAGCAGGCTCCCCTCAGAGCAGGGAGCCCTATGCATGCTCGATCCCAGGACTCCGGGATCATGATCTGAGCCAAAGGCAGACGCTTAACTGACAGCCACCCAGGCGCCCCTGAAATTTTTTGTTTTCAAAGTGCATATAATAATTAATGTTCATACTACATTGTAGTCTGTTAAGTGTGCAGTAGCATTATATCTGATAAAATCGTGCATATCTTAATTTAAAAATATTGCTAAAAAAAAGACTAATCATCTGAACTTTCAGCAAATTGTAACCTTTTTGCTGGTGGAAGGTCTTCCCTCCATGTTGATGGCTGCTGACTGATCCGGGTGAAGCTGAAGCTGTGGCAATTTCTTAAAATGAGAAAATAATGGAGTTTTTGCATCAGTTGACTTCTTTCATGAGTAGTTTCTCAGCATATGTTGTTTGATAACATTTTATGCACCATAGAACTTTCTTTAAAAATTTGAGTCAATCCTCTCAAACCCTTTTGCTGCTTTATCAGCTAAGTTTATGTAATATTCTAAATTCTTCGTTGTCGTTTCACCAATCTTCACAGCATCTTCACCAGGAGTAGAATTCATCTCAAGAAACCACTTTCTTTGCTCATTCATTCATAAGAAACAGCTTCTCATCAAGGTTTTATCATGCAATTCAATCACATCTTCAGGCTCCACTTTTAAATTTAGTTATTTGACTATTTATATATTTCTAGTTACTTCCTCCACTGAAGTCTTGAACCCCTCAGAGTCATTCATGAAGATTGGAATTAACTTTTTCCAAACTCCTGTTATTGTTGATATTTTGCCCTCTTGTCATGAATCAGATGTTCTTAATGGCATCTAGAATGGTGAATCCTTTCCAGAAGGTTTTCAGTTGACTTTGCCCAAATCCATCAGAGGAATCACTATCTATGGCATCTCTAGCTATGTAAGAGATATTTTCTTTTATTTATTTATTTGACAGAGACAGCGAGAGAGAAAACACAAGCAGGGGGAGTGGGAAAGGGAGAAGCAGGCTTTCCCGCTGAGCAGGGAGCCCGATGCCGGGCTTGATCCCAGAACCCTGGGATCATGACCCGAGTCGAAGGGAGGCGCTTAACAACTGAGCCACCCAGGCGCCCTGTAAGATATATTTCTTAATAACATTTGAACTTTGAAATTACTCCTTGATCCATGGGTTGCAGAATGGATGTTTTGTTAGCGGGCATGAAAATGTTAATCTTGGGGCGCCTGGGTGGCTCAGTCGTTAAGTGTCTGCCTTCGGCTCAGGTCATGATCCCAGGGTCCTGGGATCGAGCCCCGCATTGGGCTCCCTGCTCCGTGGGAGGCCTGCTCTCCCTCTCCCACTCCCGCTGCTTGTGTTCCTGCTCTCGCTATCTCTGTCTCTGTCAAATAAATAAAATCTTTAAAAAAAAATGTTAATCTCATACCTCTCCATCAGAGCTCTTGGGTGACCAGGTGTGTTGCCAATGAACAGTAAAAGGAATTTTTTTTTTTTTCTGAGTAGTAGGTCTCAATGGTGGGCTTAAAATATTCAATAAACCATATTCTAAACAGATGTGCTGTCATTCAGTCTTTGTTTCATTTATAGAGCACAGGCAGAATAGATTTAGCATAATTCTTAAGGGCTCTAGGATTTTCAGAATGGTAAATGAGCATTGGCTTCGACTTAAAGTCACAGGCTGCATTAACCCCTAGCAAGAGAGTTAGCCTGTCCTTTGAAACTTTGAATCCAGGCATTGACTTCTCTCCAGCTATGGAAGTCCTGGGTGGCATCTCCTTTCAGTGTAATGCTGTTTCATCTACATTTAAAATCTGTTGTTTAGGAGGTGCCTGGGTGCCTCAGTCAATTAAGCATCCGACTCTTGATCTCAGCTCAGATCTTGATGTCAGGGTTGTGAGTTCAAGCCCCATGTTGGGCTCTGTGTTGAGCATGGAGCCCTTAAAAAAAAAAAAATCTGTTGTTTGGTATAGCCACCTTTATTAATTATCTTAGCTACACCTCCTGGATAATTTGCTGCAGCTTCTGCATCAGTACTTCTTTCACCTTGCACTTGTATGCTATGGAAAGTGGCTTCTTTTTTTTAAGATTTTATTTATTTGACAGACACAGCGAGAGAGGGAACACAAGCAGGGGGAGTGGGAGAGGGAGAAGCAGGCTTCCCTCTGAGCAGGGAGCCTGATGTGGGGCTCGATTCCAGGACCCTAGGACCATGACCTGAGCCAAAGGCAGTTGCCCAATGACTGAGCCACCCAGGCACCCCAAATGGCTTCTTTCTTTAAACCTCATAAATCAACCTCTGCTAGCTTCAAGCTTTTCTTTTGCAGCTTCCTCTCCTCTCAGTTTGTAGAATTGAAGAGCGTTAGGACCTTGGCTTAGGGAATCATTGTGGCTGGTTTGATCTTTTATCCAGACCACAAAAATGTTCTCCATATCAGCAATAAGGCTCTTTCACTTTCTTTTTTTTTTTTTTTTAAAGATTTTATTTATTTATTCATGAGAGGCAGAGGGAGAAGCAGGCTCCCAAGGAGCAGGGAGCCCGATGTGGGACTCGATCCCAGGACCCTGGGATCATGACTTGAGCCGAAGGCAGACACTTAACCATCTGAGCCACCCAGGCGCCCGGCTCTTTCACTTTCTTACCATTTGTTCACTGGGGGAGCCCTTTTCATTTCCTTCAAGAACTTTTTCCTTGCATTCACAACTTGGCTAACTGATGCGAGAAGCCTAGCTTTTGGTCTATCTCAGCTTTTGACAAGTTTTCCTTACTGAGTTTAATCATTTGTAGCTTTTGATATACAGTGAGAGACCTGTGACTCTTCTTTTCCTTGAATACTTCGAGGCCATTGTAGGATTATTGATTGGCCTAATTTCAGTATTGTTTCTTAGGGAATAGGGGTGCCTTAAGCAGAGGGAGAGAGATGAGGGGAATGGCTGGTTGGTGGAGCAATCAGAATATACACATTTCTCAACAAAGTTCATTGTCTTACATTGGAGTCATTGGTGGCACCCTAGTTAAAATTTTACAATAGTAACATCAGAGGTCACTGATCCCAGATCACCATAACATTTATAATAATAATGAAGAAGTTTGAAATGTGAGAATTAGCAAAATGTGACAGACGTGGAGTGAGCAAATGCTTTTGGAAAAATGGTGCTGATAGACTTGCTTGATGCAGGGTTGCAAACCTTCATGTAAAAACAAAACAAAACAGTATCTGAGAAGTGCAATAAAAAGAGGTATGCATATATATAAACTAGAGAGAATACTGTGAGAACTAGTTTTGTAATCACTAGTTCATAATCATTTTATAGGGTTTTTGTTATAGTTGTTTACATGACTTACAGTTTTTTTTTTTTTATGTCATTCTCATTAGATTGTGAACTCTTTGAAGCTTTAGGGTGAGGTCTTACTTAACTGTGGTGGCTTAGCACAGTGCCTGATAGAAGAGTGCTTAACAAACGTTTGGTGAGTGAGTGCATGACCGTAAACATGTTGACATAACATCCTAGAATAACCTCTGAATCATAAAAGGAGTTTTAAATGAGTTACTGAACAATATTAGTATGTGGTATGTATATACATATTCATATATATCTACATTCATATATGTTTGTTTTATGTATATAGATATTTGTGTATGTATAAAACAGTAACTTGACCAGAATATTTTACTAACTTTCAGATTAGTATTCTTAATCATTCCAGGTACAAAGGTTACGGTATTTAGCTTTGGAAACAGGTTCAAGTCCTGAAATGGTAATTAAGTTGATATGTTGTATTAGACTAGTTTGGGGTCTAATGATTTATTTCATATATTGATAATTATTTAGGATAGATCTTTAGTTATTACCTTTGTGGTTTAATGTCATTGTCTTTTAAAATTTTTTTAATTTTTAAATTTTTTTAATTTTTAAAAGATTTTATTTATTTATTGGTCAGAGAGAGCACAGTCAGGGGGAGTGGCAGGCAGAGGGAGAAGCAAACTCCCTGCTGAGCAAGGAGCCCATGTGGAACTTGATCCCAGGACCCTGGGATAGTGACCTGAGCCGAAGGCAGACGCTTAACCAACTGAACCACCCAGGCGTCCCTAATTTTTTTTATTTTTTTAAAGATTTAATTTATTTGAGAGAGAGCCAGCACAAGCAATAGGGAGAAGCAGACTCCCTGCTGAGCAGGAAGGTCGATGTCGGGCTCTATCCCAGGACCCTGGGATCATGACCTGAGCTGAAGGCAGATGAGGCCCTTAACCAACTCAGCCACCCAGGCGCCCCATGTCATTGTCTTTAATTATTCTTTTTTTTTTTTTTTGTAGAATAGGAATCTAATTTCTGAAAGTTGAAAATCCTTGAAACTTAGGTGTGCCTGACTGGGTCAGTCAGAAGAGCATGGGACTCTTGATCTCTGGGTTGGGAGTTTGAGCCCCAGGTTGGGTGTAGCGATTACTAAAAACGTAAATTAAAAAACTTAATTAGGGGCACCTGGGTGGCTCAGTCGTTAAGCATCTGCCTTCGGCTCAGGTCATGATCCCAGGGTCCTGGGATCAAGCCCCACATTGGGCTCCCTGCTCCGCGGGAAGCCTGCTTCTCCTTCTCCCACTCCCCCTGCTTGTGTTCCTTCTCTGGCTGTGTCTCTCTCTGTCAAATAAATAAATAAAATCTTTAAAAAAAAAATTAAAAAAAGAAAACCCTTAAATCTTAACAAAATACTTTGGCAAATTATTTCTGTTTCCTTAAAACAAAACTAAATTATGTAAGTCAGTGGAATTAAAAAAGAATGTTACTTTTCTTTTTCCTTTGGAATGATTTTTAATTTTAGATTCAATTTTTGTTATATATGTGGGGTAATTACATTTTCTATTTCTTTGTCAGTTTTGGTAAGTTGAGTTTTAGAGATTTGTCCATTGTTTGAATATATAGGTGTAAATTGATAATGTCCCCTTGTAATTATTATTATTTTTTAAAGATTTTATTTATTTATTTGAGAGAGCGAGAATGAGAGAGAGCATATGAGAGGGGGGAGGGTCAGAGGGAGAAGCAGATTCCCTGCTGAGCAGGGAGCCCGATGTGGGACTCGATCCCGGGACTCCAGGATCATGACCTGAGCAAAGCAGTCGCTTAACCAACTGAGCCACCCAGGCGCCCGTCCCCTTGTAATTATTAATGTCTCTAGGATCTGTAATGATATTCCCCTCTTCATTCCTGATAGTTTGTCCCCCCTTTTTTTTGCCAGTTTTCTAGAGACTTACGAGTTTTTTAAAGTAATCTTTTTTTTTTTTTAAGATTTTATTTATTTATTTATTTGAGAGAGAGAATGAGATAGAGAGAGCATGAGATGGGGGAGGGTCAGAGGGAGAAGCAGACTCCTCCTGCTGAGCAGGGAGCCCCATGCGGGACTCGATCCTGGGACTCCAGGATCATGACCTGAGCCGAAGGCAGTCGCTTAACCAACTGAGCCACCCAGGCGCCCTAAAATAATCTTTACGTACACCATGGGGCTTGAACTCACAAGATCAAGTGTCATATGCTCTACTGACAGAGCCAGTTGCCCCAAGATTTGTCAATTTTTTTAAAAGATTTTATTTATTTGACAGAGCACGAGTGGGGGAAGGGGCAGAGAGAGAAGCAGTTTCCCCACCGAGCAGGGAGCCTGATGTGGGGCTCTAAATCTTGGGGTGCCAGGGTGGCTCAGCAGTTAAGCATCTTGCTTCAGCTCAGGTCATGATCTTGGTGTCCCAGGATCAAGCCCTGTGTCGGGCTCCCTGCTCAGTGGAGAGCCTGGTCTTTCTCTGCCCCTCCCTCCTGCTCTGCTCTCTCTCTCAGATAGATAAGTAATTAAAAAAAATTTTTTTCTAGATAACCAGCATTTGGTTTTGTTGATTTTTCTGTAGTTTTCCTCTTCAATTTCATTGATTTATTTTGCCTTGTTTTTATTGTTTCCTCCTGCTTGCTTTGGGTTATAATAATTCTTTTTACAGTTCGTTATGGTGGAAGCTTAGATTACTAGAGACCTTCATTTCTAATATAAGCATTTAGTGTTGTAAATTTCCCCTTAAGTGCTGCTTTTTATTTTATTTTTTTTAAAAGATTTTATTTATGTGAGAGAGAGAGGAAAGGGGAGGGTCAGAGGGAGAAGCAGAGTCCCCGCTGAGCAGGGAGCCTGATGTGGGACTCGATCCTGGGACCCCAGGATCATGACCTGAGTCGAAGGCAGTCGCTTAACCAACTGAGCCACCCAGGTGCCCCTTAAGTACTGCTTTTTAAACTACATCCACAGATTACAATACTTTCATTTTCTTGCAGTTCAAACCTTTAAAACATGTTTTTCCTGCTTACAACTTCCTCTTTGACCCGTGGATTATGAGGAAGTGTGTTTAATTTTCAAGTGTTGGGAGATTTTCTGCTATCTCGTTAAATGATTTCTAGTTCAGTTCCATTTGGTTAAAGATCGTACTCTGTGTGACTTCTGTTCTGTTTTGTTAAGATTATTTTGTACCCTGGGATATGGTCTATATTCAGGTATGTTCCATGTGTGTTACTGTGTTGGGTGGAGTGTTCTGTAACTATCATTGAGATACAGTCGATTGTTTGTGGTGTTCAGTTCTTGTATATCCTTGCTGATACTCTACCAGTTTTTTTTTTTGAAAATGTCTTTTATGAGTTACATCTATTTATTATTTTTTTAAGATTTTATTTATTTGACAGAGAAAGACAGCGAGAGAGGGAACACAAGCAGGGGGAGTGGGAGAGGGAGAAGCAGGCTTCCCTTGGAGCGGGGAGCCCGATGTGGGGCTCGATCAGTTACTGGTGAAGGCATGTTGAAGTCTCCAGCTATAAGTAGGGATTTGTTAATTTCTCCTTTCCTATCTGTCAGTACTTGCCTCATATATTTTGAAGCTCTGTTTGTTAGGTGCATTCACTATTAGGATTGTTATATTTCCTTGGTGAATTCACTTTTATCATTATATAATTACAACAGTATATAATACTCCTTTTTTATCCCTGGTTTTCCTTGTTCTGAAATCTTTATCTAGCATTAATATAGCCCCTCCAATTAACCTTAACTTTCTTTTTTAAAATTGAGTGACAGGGTACCTGGATGGCTCAGTCAGTTAAGCATCTGCCTTCGGCTCAGATCATGGTCTCAGGGTCCTGGGATCGAGTTCCACATTGGGCTCCCTGCTCAGCAGTGAGCCTGCTTCTCCCTCTGCCATTCCCACTGCTTGTGCTCTCTGTCTCTCTCTGTCAAATAAATAAAGTCTTTAAAAAATTAAATTGAGTTATAATCGACATAAAACATACTAGTTTCAGATATACAGCGTAATGATTAGATGTTTGTGTGTATTGTGAAATGATTGCCACACTAAGACTAATTAACAGCCATCACCATACATAGTTAACAAAATTTTTTTCTTGTGAAAAGAACTTTTGTGTGTGTGTGTGTGTGTGATAAGAACTTTAAGATCTACTCTCAGCAGTGAAAGTGTACAGTATGATTAATTTGTACATTTACATCCACATGACATTTATTTTATAACTGGAAGCTTGTACTGAAATGGGTGGAGGGGTGCAAAAAATGTAAACTTCCAACTTTCTTTTGGTGAGTGTGTGATAGAACTTTTTCATCCTTTTACTTTTTTAAAAAAAGTTTTATTAGAGAGTGTGCATTCATGCACGAATGGGGGGAGGGGCAGAGGGAGCAGAACAAGTCGACTGCACTGAGCAGGGAGCCTAACGCAGCCCGATCCCAGGACCCTGGAATCGTGACTTGAGCCAAAGGCAAATGCGTAACTGACTGAGCCACCCAGGCGCCCCAACTTGCTTTTTTTTTTTTTTAAAGCTTTCATTTATTTATTTATTTTTAAAGATTTTATTATTTGAGACAGAGAGCACAAGCAGGGAGGAGGGTCAGTGGGAGAAGCAGGGAGCCTGACGTGGGGCTCAATCCCAAAACCCTAGGATCATGACTCAAGCCAAAGGTAGCCATTTAACTGACTAAGCCACCCGTGCACCCCTTAAGATTTTATTGATTTATTTGAGAGAGAAAGAGGGAGCTTGTGAGTGGTGGGAGGAGCAGAGGAAGGGGGACAAGCAGATTCCCTGTTGAGTGCGGAGCCCAGTGCAGCGCTTGATCTCATGACCCTGAGCTTATGACCTGAGCCAAAATCAAGAGTTGGATGCCTAACACACTGAGCCACCCAGGCATCCCTCATCCTTTTACTTTTAACATACTCATTTTATCATATCAAAGTGAGTTTCGTGTTGATAGTATATAGATGGACCCTTTTTTTGGACAGTCTCTTGTCTTTAAATTGTTTTTAGACCATTTCTATATAATTTTTTATGTAATTATTATATTTGAATTTAGGTCCACCATTTTATTATGTTTTCTGTTTTTTCCTCTGTTTTTCATTTCTGTTTCTGCTTTTGCCTTCTTTTGGGTTATTTGAATACTAGTATTCTAGTTTA